ATATGTTCCTATGCAGATGATGAGTATATGTTCCTATGCAGATGATGTGTATATGTTCCTATGCAGATTATGTGTATATGTCCCTAAGTCAGGTGCTGAGTCTTGTACTTAAGTACTTGGGTCTTCCTGAACATGCTGCCTTTTAAGAATAAGATTAAAAATAAAGGTAGTGAAGAAAAGTTTTATCACTCAGTTCTGATGGACTTGAGTGATACTGATGAACTGCAAGTGCCAGCATTACCCTAGAGTCCTCTAAATCCCTCTGGAGTTTTTCAGCTTTGGTCTTTTCAAAAAGCAGGCTCTGCTCAAGCTCCTTTATGTGGGCATGCTCCAGCCTGGTCTGCGTCTGTTAGTAAGAAAGAGCAGGAAGAGAAGAACAAACACCAATGCAACATGCCAGCCTTGTGCATCACGCAGACAAAAAGGCTTTGAAAAGAAGAGAAGCAAGGGACGAAATATTCTGAGTTAATGGGTTTCATACTTATATCTTCTAACAGGTAACACAAGTATAGCAGAGGAAGATGAAAGCATGTAAGAAGAGTGGCAACAAACAACATATAGGGGACTGAACAAACAATAAGAGGATGGTGAAGTCGATGACGGCGTGTGGAGACCGCTGGAACAAATCAATAAATTGAAGTACAAATGATGAGTCTGACAAATGAACAAGTCAAAAAGTACAGCAGATGGAAAAACTTGGAAAGAAAGATAGATTAAAATCAATTATTTTAAATAAAACTTCCAGTGTTACTTCCTGGTTTAAGTTAAAATGAGCTGAAGAAGTCAGGGACTCGAGATGCAAAGGTACTGCATACAGTACATTATACGCCCGTTGAGGAACTATTATACGGCAATCTATAGCAATGGCCTGGACAAGAAAAAAATCTTGTATAAACTTAAACTAAGATTACAGTGTAAATAATGATGGGCAAAAAAATACATTTCATTGACAGAAAAGGTCAAAGTATTAAAGAAGTTGTCTTTCTGAACTAATGTGGAAGAAGTGAGCCCGATTGGATTGCTTTTATTTGTTATTATTGTTTTTATTATCATTATTAAGATGTCACGTTCTACTGAATGAATGTATTCAGGTTACGACCAGGTTACCTCCAGGTCTCCTTTGGTGATGCATGCCTCCTCTACACGGAACTGCAGGTCCTCCACTTTCCTGATCAACAGAGAGAAAAAAGATAAACATTTACAAACTCTAAACAAATGTAAATTGTAGGGGACGACCCCCAAATTCCTTTGGCTCAGCTTCCTCCATGCAGGATGTACTGTTGGGATTGAAAACATCTGCGAAGTATTCCTTCCAACCCCCAACAACATCACTGGATGAGGTCAACAGCAACCCACCTCCACTATACAGTATGCCCAGAGTGCTGGTCCACTGATGGCCCTCAGCTGCCTCTGGAGTCCTAGCAGCACATAAGGACTCCTTCAGAATGACAGCCTCCCTCACCTGGGGTGTCTGCCACTGGATTTCAAAGATGGCTGCCACGGGAAGTATTGACGACCTTGCGGCCACAGTTCAAGACAACTGTCTCGACAATGGATGTGTGAACATGGCCCACTCAGACTGGATGTCCTCCACCTTCACTGATATGTGGCTAAAACTCACTCAGAGGTGTGAGTTGAAGATCCTTCTGACAGGTTCTTCTGCCAGGTGTTCCCAGTAAACCCTCACTACGCCACTGGACCTACCAGGTCTGTCTAGCATCCGATCCAAGTCACCACCATGTGGTGATCAGTTGACAGCTAGGCTCTTCTCTTCAAACTGAAGTCAACACCTGGTTGTTTTGGGAATCATTTTCCACGACTGGACAAACTGACCACCTCTCCCACTCTGCTGCCGTCTTTCCCCACTCAACACTCCATGTTTGTATTTGTAATCATCTCCATCATCAACATGTTTTTTTCTTGGTCTTTCTCCACATAGAAGGTACAGCTGGACCAAACATTTTGTGCTTGTGTCCTTCCTGTCCTCTCAAACCCAGCCAGTCGAAGCAGATGTCTGTTCGTCCTGAGCCTGGTTCTGTTGGAGGTTTCTTCTTGTTAAAGGGAGTTTTTCTTCCCACTGTCTCCTCTGTTCTTGTTCAGGATGAGAGACTGTGACAAAGTGAAGATTCAACACAATCTGCTGCTTCTTTAGATCGATACCTTTAATAACTGGCTTTTACAATGTATGTGAATGTTTTTGCTCCATGCCCTGAGACGACGTATGTTGGGACTTTGAGTTATATAATAAACTGAATTATATTGAAATAAATAAACTGAATTATATTGAAGATAAGCTCTACAAGGTCCCTTTAAGGAGTGAATGTCAACTGACTCCTATTAGCCATTTAGATCCAACCTTGCAAACAATATTCTTCAAAATCTCAAGTAATAAAGTGAGATCTCAAAAAATGTGCTAGCACTCTATAGCATGTTTACAGGAAGACTGTCAGCTACTACCCCATAAAACTTTAGCTCATAATCTGTCAAATCAACTAGTTATAGTCGTTTTTCTGTGAACAGGTTGCTCAACTGTGGCAACAACCTTGAATTAGTTTGGCTCCAAAATTCAATCAATTGTAGATATATATCCTAAAAACATTTTTTAGAGTTTCAATGAAATCTAACTAGTGGTTCATGGGATATTTTGCTAACACACACACTCAAATGTGGACAAAAACCATATATTTTTCTTTGAAGAGTTTCATATCTTCAGTTCCTGTTGCAGCTGCTGTGGACATTGACTGGAACGCGCACCTCTTTTCTTCCTCCAGCTGGTTGACGAGCTCCACTTTTTCTCGATCTGCTGCTTCCACCATCGACCGCAGCTGATCCAGTTTGGTCTCCATCTCCAGTGCATACTGAAATACACAAGATAATCAGGATAAAAAATTAAGATTGTGGCTATGAACTTGACACGCAAAGCGAGTGAGGACAGAGGAAGCTGGAAAAGAACCAGAAGTCATTACAAGCTAAGCTGAAGCTAGCAGACCCCAAACACAATGAATGACAAAGTGCTTCAAGCACAGCGCAGCAGTAGAAAACAACGGGCTGCTCATGTACCAGTGGGGAGCCCTCAGGGCCTTCAACGCCTTCAGAGAAGGCCCAAGAATTTAGCACATGATGCTGTTACATTTTTATTTAATATTTATTTGATAAAATATATATTTTCTATGTTTTTTGCAAATATTTTTATTTTCTGTAAACTAATGTACAAAAATATAGTTCTCCAACCAGATTTTTATTTTATTTTTTGTCTCAGGACAGAAATAGGATTGAAGGGAATTTCTTGTTGGTTAGGACTTCTCTGTCGTGAGAGAAGGCTGTAGTTCAGTCTATCCACGCTGACTTTGCTCAGAAACTGACAGGAAAATTGACCAATCACAATGCAGATGCAGAGTGGGCGGGACCAAAGCACGCAGCCTTATGCCTGCGAGAGGTTCTGTGACAGAGTTAGCCATTTGTGTTCAAAGCAGTCCTGCAGGAGCCTTACATGAATCAATCTAGCTAGCTTGTTTGCATCACCTTTTTCAATGTGAACAAGATTTTATTCCTAAAAGAAAGACGAACAGGTCGGAAGGTGTAGGGGGCATAGGTTGAGGCGCAGAAGATGCATCGGGAGGCTTGGAACCCTTCCATAAGTCCTTGTAGTTCTAGTATTATAACATAATTTGTTTAAAACTAGAGCTCGACCAATATATTGGTAGGGTCTATATTTTAGGCCGATATAGACGTTTGGGGACGTATCATGTTGGTGATAACGTCCCATTATACGCCGATATAAACACGTCTAATTTTCACCCCTAAAATTCTGGAACTAGCTGTAATTGTAAAATATATCCAGCAGAGGGCGCATGAAGACAGCTTTCAAGTTATGCCCTTTCACTTAAGTTTCACTTTCATCACAGCTGAAGCAGGGAGCAACTGTGTAGCAGATTTTACTGACCAAGGCATGGTAAGTTTATTTTAACTGATCTGTAAAATTAAAACAAATTAACAATATTAAATTCTCTTCAATGCTCCAACACACTTGTCATTAGCTACGTGCCTCTCAAGTTAGCAAGCTAACGTTCGTGTTCAGTTGCACCACCTTCACGATATTAGCCCCGTTGTCAGTAGTTATAGGAACCAGTCCTGTCAGACTGAGCTTCCAGTTTGTGAAAACATCCAGTGTTGGTAACGTTATCTTTGTCGTCCTCAATGAAATGCATTGTTTGTCTGAAATCTTTACTTCTCTACAAAGAAAAATAAACTGCTGCAGTCAATACTAATTAGACCTTCACCATACGTGACTGTTTAAACAATGAACAGGAAGGTGTTTCTTTGTTTAATTTATTTTTTTGTAACACACGTGATAACTTCATGGTGAACAGTGGAGGATAGAAAATGTGAACACACGTTAGGAAGACAGTTTTCATGACCAGTACACCACTTGTAAACCTACTGTGTTACTACGTAGAGCATGGATCAGATTAGCTTAGCTTCATGTTGCTAACAGCTGCGCTAAATAAACAAGCCCCGCTCCACTCACTGTTTTCTTAGACTCTTGGGGGTGGACAAAACTGAACATTTTTCATCCATTATATTGGTTATCGGTGGTCCTGGCGGTCTTGCAATCCTGTGGTTGCAGGTTTGAGCCCAGGTTATGTCAGGAAGGGCATCCGGCGTTAAAAACAATTGCCAAATCTTTCATGCAAATTTGCTCGCTGTGGCGACCCCTGAAGACGGGAGCAGCCAGAAGAAAATCACTAGGATGTTACTTTTGCCTCGTTTTGTGTTGCAGGAAGCATAGTGTGTGCACGTGTCCGACCTGGTCCCGGCCTTTCCTCAGCAGAACCAGCTCCTGCTGCACCTCTCCTGCATGGCTGGTAGCTTTGGCGACCTCGCACCTCTCCAGGTCCCTCTCTGCCAGCAGCTGCTCGATGTGCTGCTGCTTCTCTTTCAGCGCCTCCTGCAGCGCCGTGGTGCTCGAAATCTTACGAGCGTACCGAGCAGACGTTTCTGTCAGCTGAAAAATTAGACGCACACATTTTAGTGCGTAGTTTGTTCGCCGGCATAGATTTGTACCGACACCTGAAAACTTGTTGCAAAATAAGAACCCAAACAGAGCGGGGAATTATGACTGGTCCAAGCATTTCCCTTAAAATAAAACAAAAGATTATTAACACTTTACAGTCTCTCGGTCGAGTCAAGATTCTGGGAAGTGGTCGGGTGCACGAGCACAAATCAAACAAAGTGTAAATCTGATCAACAGACAGTTGGACAGATCTTTAAAGAAGATTGGGACAGCAGGTGTGGTATCAGCTGTTTATGATGGCAGGTGAGTCTTACCAGTCCTGCACGGCTGGGTTTGCCGCTGATGGAGGAGGTGGCTGAGCTCAGGGAGCTGATGGAGGAACCACTCGGGCTCCTCTTGAGAGTGGACCTCCTGTGGGAGCTTTTTGTCTTGGTAGGGGTGGTGCAGGGGAAACCAATGCGCGTCACCTTGTGAACAGGAGCAAAGAGCCCATACCTGGGTGAGCACTGGAAATACCTGAAACAGGTTGGAGCACACAAAGACACCTGCTGGTTTGAGGAAACAGCCTTCAGGTCAGCTTTAGGGCTTGAGGGCTACAGCTAAAATTAGCAATACCAGAGCCAAAAGCTCAGATTAGCAAAACAGTAGCTAAATGATAACATTAGCATAAAAACAAAAATAGAGCAAGTATCCAGAAGGAGATTTTAGGGAAATGTTTTTAAAGCAATTGAATAATTCATGTAAGTCTCTGTTTCTAAATAATCCTGAATAATTAAACAATTTTAAAAGCTACAAAAACTAAAGCTCTTGGCACATTATTTATTCCTGATCACACTGAACATTATATTTATGAATGTTACGACGGAAGTGTTTCTGCGCTCATGCAGTCATGTTCACAACAGACTCTGGCCCTTCGTTATTTATGAATAAAATAAATATTCAGCTTAGATTAATATTTTACACAGTGCTACAACTTGTTCAGTACTGGAGTTGTACGACTTGCACTGCCAACACCCCAGTACCGTGCATCCCAGAAACATTCTGTACTGGTGCTCTTCACCTGGTCCCAGCTACAGCGCCGTCATTCTTGCCCAAAGGTTCGTCCAGCTCCACACCGCACCAGTCTCCTTTGGCAAAGTCCGTCTCTCCAAGAAAGCGCACCACGCCTGCCTTCGTACCTCCAACCTATCATGAAAAACTTATTTACTCTTAATACTCATAAATCATACAAAGAGTTCAACAAGGTGAATCAAGTATCTCATGGCTAAACAAGCATTACATTAAAGATAAAGCATATTATTCACTGCTGGCCCTTTAGCAGGGGCTCTGTAGCCTGGAAATGACGGCAGTCATCTTGTTGTCAATTCAACCAGTTGTAAAGATTCTCGTGATATTGCATCATGCTGCTGCTGCAGGTTTTCCAGCTGATGACGTGAGTCCATGTTTCGTGGACTCACGTCATCAGACGGACAGATCTGATGTCGACGGAGGCCTTTAGCATCTAGACTCTACCTTGGAGGAAAAGTGTTTTCCTTCTTTTATCGTTGGATCCTTTTGGACCTGTGTAGTTTCAGCTCCTGGTTCTGCAGCTGGACGTGTTGTGTGTTCAGAGACGATGTTCTGCAGACCTTGGACGTTTTGAATTACTGCCTCCTTGTCATATAAAAACCATCCAACCGTAATCTGCTCCTGCTGTTGACATTAAAAAAGCTTTTCCTCCCCACAAACACCGCTCACTGGACTTTCTCTGTTTTAATCCTTCTGTGTTCTTAGGGATGACTGAAATATGACTCAAACCCGTATTTGTCCCCATTTTGAAGCCTGCTAAACTTCAGCAGGTCATCTTCACCATCATTGCATGCCTACAGGCATTGAGTTGCTGCCGGTGACTGGTTGATTAGTTGTGTTAGCAAACTGAACGGAGTCAGACCTAAGACGGCGGTCGGTGAGTGTAAATATGCGGTTTGAGTACAAACCCTTAACATTCTTACATAAAGCCTGTTTACATGTGACATTTATGCTTTTCTCCATGATCCGGTCATGTGAGCTCACCAGGACTCGCTCTCCCAGCCTCAGCTCCCTGCGGTTTCTCTTGTTGGAGTCTGGATCTGACAGGTTGGACACCGACTCGCTGGATGCCGCCACTCGGCTGAGCGCACCGCACGTCTTTACGCTGGTGCTCTGAGCTGAAGGACGTCAAGAAAGAGATGGTGAAACCAACGTTTTACATTGTTTAAAAAGATCTAAGCAGCGACGAACAGCCCGTCTTAGCGATGCTCTGGCCTGCGCCACAGTACCTGGCAACAAGGGCACCCAGTTCCTTTTAGCCTTTAGCTACTGTCCTGCTAATTTTTGTTAACAGCTACTGTTTGCATTTGAAGCTTGGCTACTAAAGCTATTAATAATAGTTTAGCTGATTTTAGCTTTTAGCTACAGTTTTGCTACAGTTAGTTAAGGCTAAGCTGCGGTAGCTTGGTGGTCAGTGCCATGCTCTTGTAATCTTGAGGTTGCGTGTTCAAGCCCAGGATACGTCAGGAAGGGTGTCTAGCGTAAAACAAATCGCCAAATCTGTCGTGCGAGTTCGTTTGCTGTGGCGACCCCTGAAGAAGAGAACAGCTGAAAGAAACTTCTTCTTTTAATTGTTCAAATGTAGGTAGAAAACGTGAAGACGTCTTCGAAATGGGGACTGCAGTTCAAGATGGCCGACATCCATGAATAAAACAGCACCAAGGAGCATTACCTGGTAATTCTTTATCTGATGAAACTGAACTGGATTAAAAACATGTAACTTCCTGTTCTCAGCGAGCGAGGCTAAACAAATGGCAGAAAAGGCTAAATATTTCAAAAAGCTAAAGCTGCACCGAACGTTGAGTTATGATTTGTTGGAACAGCTGGAAACTGCACAGAAAAACGTGCAGAAGAAAACTGGATGACAGCCGAGTGAATGCTTCATAATTCACACAGTAAGATGTAAAAGGCGAGCTGTTATTACCAGTGGAGGTGGTGCCGCCAGGAGCCGACTCGCTTGCTGCAGAGGCTCCTGGGACGGGGCTGGCCTGCCCTCCGTTCCCCTCCTTCTGTGGCAGTTCAGTCCTGGACAGCTTGGAAGGCCGGGTAAATATACCGTGTCCGTCTTCGCACTGGAAATATCGTACGCCTGCCACCGAGCCATCGTTCTTCCCAATCGGTTCATCCAGAACAATGCCGGCCCACTGGCCAGGAGCAAACTGAGTGCTGCCTACAAACTGGACGCAGCCGGGCTTGCTGCCGTTCACCCAGACCCTGTCTCCAATCAGAAAGTCTGCGTTTCCATCCTGGGTTGGAGAGGCCTCGCTGAAGGGGGGCTTCTCAGGAGGAACTGGCTTTGGAGTCCCTGCAATTCAAAAATTTAACAAACATCATAAAGAAGATTGAACCCTAAACATACGTTCTAGTTTAAAATGATCTTAATTTACAGCAGCTAGCTGAAAGAAACAGCAACTACAGATTCAGTCCACACTTCCATCCTGCAGAGGAGCCTCTTAAAGAAACACTTTCATCCAGTCTTGTGTTTCCTGACTCCTATCGTTCCTTTGGGCGACAGAATTCAACCTTCCAGGAGGGAAACCCGTCACCCTCTCCCCTGCAACACACTCCAGCTTCTCTAGATGATCCCGAGGCATCCCCAGGCCAGAGACAACGTGTACTGTGACCTTCAGACAGTCTTGGGTCTGCCCCAGGGGTGCACCTGAAAACCTCCAAAGAGAGGCGATGGGGAGGCAGTTGTCTTGAACCATTTCACCAAGTCCTTTTGATGAGGGGGGGCAGTGGTCCTGTTCCAAGTTCACCCCAGATGATCTGTCTGAGTCCAGCCACCCTATGGAGGGAGATCATTTTAACCACTGGACAGATTTTGATGACCCTCAACACAGTGTGTGTGTGTGTGTGTGGGGGGGGTGGGGGGGGGTACAAGTCTCTGAGTCTTGACCCCCAACAAGGACCGTCCATGTCTTTTGTATTGACTGCTGGAGATCAGCACCTTCTCCCCGTGAACCCTGACAAGAGTTGAAGCAAAGTTCAGAGAAACGCTTCAACTCTTGCTCTTTGTTGTCGTTTCATGTCTTTTAGGTTTTTGTTACAAGCCACAGTTTTGCTACTTTTATCTTTTAGTAATCATTTTGCTACATATTGTAGCTACTGCCCTTCTAATTTTAGCTTGTTTTTTGGTCATTTTTGCTTTCAGCCACAGCTTTGTTACTTACCTTTTAGCTACAGTTTTGCCACATTTAACTTTCAGAAACTGTATTATTAATTGTTACTTTAATTATCGTTTAGCTTAATTTAACTTTTAGCTACTGTCATACTAATTGTTACTTTTAATGATGGTTTAGCTTCATTTAGCTTTTAGCTAATGTTTTACTAATTGTTACATTTAATGATGGTTTAGCTTGGTTTAGCTTTTGTCTGTGGTGAAGCTACATTTAGCTTCTAGCTATTGTTAAACTAATTATTGCTTTTAGTCAAAGTTTCTTTATTTGTCACACACCACATGTGGTACACAGGGTTCCAGTTACAACCAACAAAAATACAAAATGTAAAGAAAAACAGTAATAAGATCTAGCAATCTTTAGCCATGGTTTAGCTACATTTAGCTTTTAGCTACACTTACACTAATAGTTGCTTTTAGCTATGGTTTAGCTACATTTAGCATTTAGCTTTGGTTAAAGTCCCTTTAGCTTTGTTTGTGCTAAATGCTTATCTCCTATTTTGCTAATTTCTGCTTCCAGCTAGTTTAGTTACTTTTTACTCGTAACTCTGATTTTGCTACCTTTAGCTTCTTTTTTCTAGCATCTAGTTAATCTTGTCATGTTGTGTTTTATTGTGCTGCCTACTTTAGCTTGTAGTTTAAGCCACTTCCTGTAGAAGAAGCAGGACTTTAACATTCATCCTTCCTTGAGCTTCTTACCAGAACACGGGGACGTTCTTGATGGAACACCAGCCGGACGGACGATTCTACTGGGTTGTTTCAGCCCGCTAGCTTTGCCTGGCGTCGTCATGGCTCCCTGTTAGTGAGGGCGGGGGGCCTGATCAGTGGGGGGGACGAGGCCTTCCCAACCATGAGAGGAGCTGCAAAGCCAAACAAAAGTGGGACTGTACATGCAGCTACATACAGAACGGCAGCACAAACACACATCTGTAACAGCTGCAGGAAAGTGACGCAGATGGAGAAACAGTCGGCACAAAAGACAGGAAGTGGAGGAATGGAACGTAATCATGTGCGATTAGTACAACTCGATTATGTTGAGTAGAAACGTTTCACTTGTTAGTGAAACGAGATGAAATGTGGAAAAAGCAGAAGCTTTGACCTGTTAATTATAAACAGTCATTAAACTACATTAAGCACAAAAAGTGAGAATACTGTGGATTATAGATTATTGGAGTAACGATGTCCTGAGAGCGCACACTGTAGCTGCACTCACACAGAGACATGTAGGAGGAGATGTATGAAGGCAGCAGACCAGGAAGTGATTTAAAGATGAAGATGTACCAGTGGGAGAGTCTGTGTGGAGTTAATGGTGACCAGTTAACCAGTGGATACTGGGTGCAGTGGTGGGTACGATAATCACAGCCAGTTATGAATCTTAGTGCACCATGATAGACAGCATCCAACATCTGCAGCATCCAACATCTGCAGGG